ATTCTGTCTTAACCATAAATTTGAGTAGGAATCCTAGCATTTGAGTGCTTAGGTCTAAGACTAATAATGCTAAGCTAATATGTTAGATCTGGTTTAAAACCCCAAAGTCTTTAACCAAACAAAATTCCAAACTCAACATGCATATACAAGCTCCCAATTAAGTAAAGTTAACCAAGTTAACTTCTTTTTTTTTACTACAGGTAAAACAACTATGAGATTATAAAACAGAAATCACAGAGTCTACAAGAAGCAGAGACAATAATTAATATGGGGAAATTTCCCACCCCACAAAACTAGAAAACATCTTTAGCTTTTTGTGCTATTTCATGTGTCATCTGATTTGAGGAAGGATGGGTATATAGCAAAAAAATAACAAAGTTCAGACTCTGAGCAATACATGTTATCAATAAAATGCAAACAAGACCAAGGAAGCCGTCTTTCAGATTTTCTCAAAATATTGATAACCATAAGAGTCAGACTCTATGATATCATAGGAAATATGAAACAAAGAAGTATTAAGAAATCTTAAGAATAGATTGATATCAGTGGATTCCTCATTTATGTTATGACTATCTAAGTGATTGAGTAGATATACAGAATCTTTAGTTGTCCATAGTTGTAACTGTTTAACTAAAATACTAGCCAACTGGCATGGGGCAATTGTATGAAGTTTTTGGTTTGTGATACTATTCATGTGGTAACGGTTGAAGCCGCTTGGCTGAATTTTTTATTTGATTTAGGAAACTATATTAGTTAAAAAAAAAAATCTTTATCGAGAAGAATGAAGTCTTTGTGTTGGGTTTTATTTCAGGAAATTAACTTAGATTTTATTTTTGGCTTGTGACTAAAGGATGTGAGCCATCAGGAGATACAGGAGAGCAAGAGTACACTATTCATGGTGCAAGCATTTAGACCAGATTTTTTTTTTCTTTGATTGAGGAGACTAAATAAGGTTCGGTTTGTAATTAAACAACTTCTTTTGTTCTCACCTTTATCTAGAGAAATGACATATATCCATACCCAAGTAACCGTCTTGATAGCCTTGGTGTTGGATTTTTTTTTTTTTTTTGTATTTGTATTTGAGTTAGAAAAATAAATTACATTTAATTGATTATTAAAAGATATTAGTGTAAGGGCATATGCTATGTATGTGTGCAAATAAGGGGGTGTTCTTTTTTTTGGATTTTGAGAGGGGAGAAAGTTGCTCAATGGGATTTTGGTTTCCATCGACCAAGAATCTCATGTTCTTTTTTCAGATTTATGTGGGGATCAGTGAAAGTTTATTTTCCTAAGTATCACTTACCCGGATAAGATGAGTAAATAATTTTCCCACATAGGGGGAAAGTTGCCAACACTTGAATGGGACAAAAATGCCCCTTTTAATAATAGAATTTTATGGATAAAATGGTCATTGCCTTATTTACATGAGAAATAAAAGAATATGGGTAAATGCACTTACCCGGATAAGTAACTTACCAAAAACAGAACGAGGCCTAAAAAATAAAGATACAAGTTAACATTATTATATACAAACAAATTTAACTTTTATAACCTACATCAGAATCATGCAAATATCCACTTTATATAGTATAGACGAACTAACTTTCGTAAAAAAATAAAAAAAAATATTTTAAATTATTAAAGTTATATATAGCTTCTTTAGGCACACATGTTTGCACCATTATGTACACTCTAATAGTATATTTCACAAGTTTACATGTCATGCACATGCACAAACATGTGAGAAAATGCATATTTTATGCATACTACGCATATACCCTATACATGGTATACACTCACATTTGTATATATTTTTTATTCTATTTATACATTTTACTATAAAAATCAAATGTCTAAATGAAAAGTAGAATTGCAAAACATGAATGAGAAGGCTTGAAATCTAACCAACCCACCAGAGCCAACAAACCTGCACAAGCGTGAGCCCAGCTCAAGTTGTATTGGGTTTAGCTCAGGCTGGGCTTAGGTTGCAAAGGTTGACTTTGACCTCAGCCCATTTTTTAACATTGGCTTAGGTTTACCTTCAACCTAATCCAAACCAACCAAAATAAACCCCTACACATGAACATTTATGATACATGCAAAGAGAAATTTATCATAAAAACCACTGACCATGTAATTATATCGAGTTCAGTTTTACTTCTTTGGTAATTGGAAGGATAGATTTCTATAATGAGCTAACAATGACGGGCTCGACTAAGATATGGAGAAGATATGATATCTAAAAAATGTCTGGCCAATCAATTGGAATCATTAACATGGTAGCCAATAAGGTCGTATTTATCAAAATTCATAGGTGAGTTTTGATTGGTCAAAACTCTTTCAATACCATGTCTTTTCCGCATCATAGTTTTTCCCAACAATGACAGATAACCTTAGAAAGAACATATAATACTGTCAACAAGGTTCAAAGAATGAAATCCCTTTCCCTTTTTCTTTAACGTTTTTCTTTCTGAAACCCTTTTCTGTATCTCTTACCATTTATCTTAACCTCCCACCCCTACAAAATCTTTCATTATTCCCTTTTTTGGTTAAACAATAACCTCCTCCATGCATGGGCCTCTGCCCACTCTAGTCATAGTTTTGTGATTCGAATGACGCTCTAAATTTGTCCACATGCATTATTGCCCTGTTATGTAGCAGATAAAATAATTAAACAATAAAATATTTAAGTGTATATTGATCAAATGAATTTCAGTTTCAGCCATTAAGTAACAATTTATTCAGTAAAAGATAAAGTAATAAGCCCTTTAAGTCAGCCACCTCAACAGTTGCTTGTTACCAAATTGGCTCCTTAGTTTAGAGATGATCCAAAATTTATATTTTATCTAATTAAATGATCAAATGTTGATCCATCCTTATCCAATATCATCATCATCATCTAAGTCTTATCCCAATTTTGTGGGGTCAGCTACGTACTTAAATCATTTCTTACTGTGTGTGTCTATAATTAAAATTGGTTTAAATGCTATATACACTTTCTAGAGTCATAGGTTTAAGTTTCTTACAAGTTATTTTCAATTCATTTTATTCATAATAAACGATATCAAAATCATTTTTAATTCATCTTATTTATTAATATTTTCACTACTTTGATTCGATCCATTTCATTTGCAGCCTACCTTAGTTCTTACTATGTTGCATATATAAATAATTTTATCAATAGTAGTAAGCTTGAATTAATGAGCAAGTCAATTGCAAGAAAGTAAGAGTTATTCTAATGATTTTCTTGAAACCAAAGCTTTCGTAATTATGCCTACCCAAAAGGGCAAAATGAAAAGAAACAAAAAAAAAAAAAAGCTTTTGCAATTAAAGTGATGTTTGGCATTGATAATGGTTTCTTGAAAATCAGTGCCATGTCGAAACCATGCCGATTTTATTGTTTTTTAGGAAATCGGCTAAAATTGATTATTAAAATCAGCCCTTTTTAGAGATGACTTTTCTTGGTGATTTCCTGATTTATAGCTGACATTGAATAATAATAATTCTAATACAAAAATAATTAGCCATTGAAAAACAGTATTAAACACACTCAAAGCCCATTTCTCGAAAATGATACCAATCAACAATTTTTGGTGATTTTTAAATAATCGTCAAGGAAGAATCATTATCAATGCCAAACATCACGTAAATATAGTATATAGGCATCAGGCTCAGGTCTCACTTTGTGTAGACCAGGCCTGTCACAAATAACAACCCATTCCGAATCTCATAAACATTTATTAGATCTGATCCCATCCGGATCAACTTGATTTTATTTGGACCTATTATTGATTGATAAGAAATGAGCTTATCCTTATCCAATAAAGGGGGAGAAGTCAACTGATGTAGCCTTAATGGATAAAACGAGTTTTACTAAATTACTAGCTAGTTTGGCTTAGGACCTGGTTGTACGTAGTTAAGATAGATGATGCATATAGCTTTCATGGTCTTATGTATTGAGTCAACGAGAATCTCTTTCCACTTGAATGAGGCCATCCAATATTTCATGAATGTTCTATAAATTTGTATCCCACCACCGGCGGCCAACTTCCAACCATTCCCAGCTAGGAGAAAAAGAAATAAACAAATTAATATATAAGGTTGTGTTTGATTTGATAGAAAATAATAGAGAAACAGAAAGTTGAGGGAAAGTTCTTAATTAGTTTCTATTCCTCAGAAACTAAGATGGATGAATATATTATCACAAAACAGGGCCAAGAGGCCCAAGACGTACGAAGAAGCTAAGACAGCTTGGTAATAGAGTAGCTAGTAGTACTGAACTCTAAATTAATGCATTTTCATGATCTGCGTTAAAACTTGAAAACTTGACGCACTACAAGCAACCAGCTTTCATGATTCAACCATGCAAGTCCACAAGTGAATGCAAAGATGATTAAAGATTAAATTTACAGAACATTATATATAGAAAGTTACAATTAAACATATAAGAAAGCTTTTAGCTAAGAAAATATGGATCAAGTGAATTCATTAATTACTTATGAAATTTGGTTAATTATATATGGGTGGTTAAAAGATCGATCCAATCCTTCCTTTTCTTTAGAAGCCAATAGCTGATCCTACATACTAGATTTGTCAAACCGATTGCCAATATTGAATCATGCATCTTATCTCCAAGTTTACCGGGCAATAATTAAGCTTTAACACACAGTGTCACATATATATAATTAAATCAAACTCACCACAGTTGGTTGTGCTAAGATGATATTCATTTCCTTGACCCCATTAATTGTTTCTCTGTGGACTGTGGACCCTATATATTTAGTGTTAGTAGGTTTCTGGCTGATGAGAGACGTTAAATTAATTAATTACAAGTAAGATCTCCAACTAGACAATCAATTAATTAGCAATGCGCCCAGTCAACTTGAGCTCCCACAAGCTCTTCAATTAATTTCAAAACTATAAATATGAGTTCACCCCTATAAAAATATCCATGAAACAGAGAGATATATAGCACCTCAGAGTTGAAAGAAGAATTAGAAATGATCTTCCCTTCCATTCTAGCCTCCTTAGAATACCATTTTAGGGGATGGCCGGAGCTCAGTCTGGCATTTCTTTGCTACCTCTGCATTAGATGGTACCTGAATTTCAAGAACCAGGTGTTGGCAAATTTTCCCATTGTGGGTGCACTGCCATACATTCTCAAAAATTTCCACCGACTTCATGACTGGTACACTGAACTTGCGAGCAAAGTTGGCTACTCATATCTGTTCAAAGGGCCCATCTTCGGTGGCCAGATGATCTTTCTTACCTGTGACCCTCGAAATGTTGAGTACATCCTCAAGAAAAACTTCTCCAACTTCCCCAAGGGCCAAAAGTTCTTGGAGACCTTGCAAGTACTAGGCCAAGGAATTATCAGCGTGGAAACCGAGACATGGCACCATCAAAGGAAATTGGCGAGCAAGATGTTTGCTGCAAAAGAGTTCAGGAGCTTCGCTGCTTTTGCGAGCCAGAAGTTGGTGGAGGACGCTCTCCTCCCTACGCTGGACCATGTTCATGCGCAAGCATCTGTCATAGATCTGCAAAATTTGTTCTTGAGGTACGCGTTTGATAGCAGCTGCGCCATTATATTGGGTAGGAGTCCTGGTTTTCTTTCACCAAGCTTCCCATCTAATGAATTTTCTGAAGCAATGGACGTTGCTAGAGAAATCATATTCAATAGGAACATGATGCCCAGTAGATGGTGGAAGCTGTTGCGTTGGTTGGGGATTGGAGCAGAGAGGAAGGTGCCTGGTGCAATAAAGGCAATGGATCGCTACACATCACACTATGTCTCGTTGATGAGAGAGGATTTGCAGAGGGGAGTGGAAGCAAATTGCTTGCTAGCAATTTACATGAACTCTCAAGAAGAAAGGAAAGATGCGTTACTGGACGAAGACGAGTTCCTCAAAGACACATCATTGGCCTTAGTTTATGCTGGAAGAGACACTGTTGCATCTGGGCTCACTTATTTCTTCTATTTGATTTCTAAGACACCTCGCGTGGAGAACAAACTCCTGGAAGAGCTGAGACTTTTACGTGCAATAAAGAACACAAAACGCAACGGCTGCGGTCGGAAACACGTCGACGGTGTAGAGATGTTTGATCTAGAAGAACTGAGGGAGCTGACGTATCTGGAAGCAGCCCTCTATGAATCTATGAGGCTATATCCTCCATCTCCTCTCAACCTCAAATCTGTATTGCAAGAAGACGTCCTCCCTGATGGAAGCGTTGTGAGGCCAGGGATGCAGATCATATACTCGACTTATGCAATGGGAAGGTTGAAATCGATCTGGGGAGAAGATTGCTTGGAATTCAAGCCAGAAAGATGGCTAGACGACAATGGGCACTTGAAGGCTGAAGCCAAGTTGAAGTTCTTTGGGTTCAGTATTGGACCAAGGAATTGCATAGGTAAGGAAATGGCTTTTGCACAAATGAAGCCAGCAGCGGCAGCAATGCTCTTCAACTTCCAGGTTCAAGTGTTGGAGGGTCAATCCATCTCCCCAAAACCATCAACAGTTCTTCAGCTTAAGCACGGTCTGAAGGCCAGGATAACAAGGAGGATATCTTAAAGGTTATCCTTATCCATAAGTACTTCACTGAAAAATCTGGCTATCATGTTTGATATGTCCCACTAGCTCCATGGATGGTCTATATGTTAAAAGAGTACAAAATGGAGTAATTAGTTTGATTGGGGATTTCAGTTCGACCGTAATTGTAACTCTATCTCTCTCTCTTCTTTGATTTTCTGGCTGCGTGTCGGCTGTCTGTTTTGTGTTTTGTGTCTTCTAGAGTTTGTAATGCCATGCATGATGCATGTACGTAATAAATGGGTTTTCTATATGCTTATCTATTTCAATTACAATTTCTCTCACCTTCCCTTGTTCTATTTTCGTTTTTTATTTTAAAAGAAAGAAAAGTGATAAGGGTCCGTTTGTTTCGCAGTAAGAATTGGAATGGTCTATTCTCATAGCCCCTATTGGTTCAGATAAGAATTGAAATGGGAATTAAAATCAGCTGAAATGGAATTTCATTCACAATGGAGGAGGAGGGAATGGTCATTCCCTCAAATGGGGGAATGCCATTCCATCAAGAATGGGAATGAGATTCCAATTCCACCCAACCAACCAGTTGGACCCATTCTGATTCCGATTAATCTAAACCCGGCCTTATTCCCACGAACCAAACGGAACCTAAAAGAGATTAAAAATGCATATGCAAACAGACCATTGTTTGCAGCCATTAGCTAGCGTCCTCGGCAGTAAAAAGTAAAAACCAGTGGAAACTCTAGCTATCACACCAATAAATCAATAAAAGAAAAAAGAAAAAACAAGAACATGTTCTTGAAATCTTCTTTTGTTTTCAAAGGAAAAAATGAATTGGTTTTGTTTCAAAAGAACAAATACATGTTTTTAGAATGAAAAAATATTAGTTTTCAAAACCAAAACAAATTTCTAATATAGAAATATTATGATTTATGGAACAAGGTGTTGAATAATCAGATAAAAACATATTTTTGAAACCAGATTTAAGAACATAATTTTGATTTCAGTTTTGAAAACAAAAAAACACATGCACAACTACAGAGTCAATGGAAGTGGCCAATTCTCATTGATTGAATTGCATAAGTTACATGAGTTTATATAAGTGAAGATACAAAATTTGAAATTCAATTTTAAATGTAAAGATAAAGTGATAAGTACAATACTATAATGATTATCATACGTTGATAACAAGATAATTGTAATCTAGGATTGATAAGTCCACAGATAACAAATTATTGTTGTTATCTAACTGATGATGTGGTCAGTGTGGATTTATCTCTAGCATCCCCCCTCAAGCTGGACAGGGGTGGACCAATGGTCAGATTTCTCTTGAGATGAAGAAACCGTGTGGAGGTAAACGGTTTAGTAAGTAAGTCAGCGAGCTGATCACTGCTGGGCACGTAATGGATGGAGAGTAGGTTCTTTGCAACCAAGTCTCTGATGAAATGAACATCAAGTTCAATGTACTTCGTGCGACCATGATGGACAGGATTATAGGCTAAGGATTTAGCACTCATATTATCGCACCAAATAGTAGCAGAAGAAGCAATGTACTGTCTTCTAGGGCTCTGATACCATACGAGAGTCAATGAAAGTGGCTAATTCTCATTGATTGAATTGTAGAAGTTACATGAGTTTATATAGGTGAAGATACATAATTTGAAATTCAAGTTTAAATGTATAGACAAAGTGATAAGTACAATAGGATAATGATTATCATAAGTTGATAACAGGATAATTGTTATCTGGGATTGATAAGTCCACATATAACAAATTATTGTTGTTATCTAACTGATGACGTGGCCAGTGTGGATTTATCTCTAGCAACAACTAAGAACATGTTTCTTGTGCTTTGTTTTAAGAAACAATCTGTTTTCAAACAAAATGGTTTTGGTTTGTTTTTGAAACCGGAAACAAGAAAAACAATTCACATTGTAGGACTTCCCCTTGGTTGCTAAAAAAATAATATATATATATATATATTTTTGTAAATATGATACGAGGGATACGGAGATTTAGAGTGGGACGATTAAAAGAGGCCACTGAAAAAACAAATCATTCTCTCTTAACTTTTTTAGTTTGATTGTTTAATTTTGCATGGTGGTTTGGATGAGTTTTAGTGTTCAAGTCATATTGATAGAAAGAAATTATAATATGAAGGTTGATTCTAAAATAATGTGAACTGTGATCCAAAGACAGGGCTGAATGAAGCAATAGCTTAAACGTTTTGAAGATAAAAATAATAAGGAACAGGTTTTGACTCCTCTATCATGTCAGACTAGAAATTTTCTTTATATCTGAATTCATTGAGGGAGATGCTCTCGCTGTTATCAGATCCCCATTGGTGAAAATTCCAATCCTCCCTAGCACATTGTTTGCCGCTTGTAAGGTACTTTTTGGTTCGAATCTCCCACTTTTCAATTAAATGTATTCCCCTTGCTCACAACAAGGTGGAGCCTCTGATTGCTAAACATGATTTTTGTATTCCTCATATCTTCTCTTGGTCAGTTTGCGTCATGACTGTATTATGAGTAATTGAGTTAGAATGAAATTTCCTTTGGCTTTTAAAAAAATGTTGGGTCCATCGTGGCCTGGTGGGTGGTTGTGACTTGTGACTAGGGAATTTTAAAAAAAATCGGGTTTGTTCCTCACAGAACGCGCTTCACACAGTGCTTTCAGCTGTGCATTGGAATCTTCAAATGAATAACCAAATTAAGAGACATTTTAGGCATTTTTTCCCAGCCTTTCCTAATTGATAGTTTAATCCATTGCTATCTTATTTTTTCACCGTTGTTAATAATCTTCTCTTTACCATTTGTTCTCTTCTTTCAAGGGAGACCCTTAAAGCTATGTTTGGTTTGAAGGAAAAAGTAGGGAAAGGTAGGGAAACCTTTACACAATTTTGTATAAATTTCCCTACCTTTCCCTGCTTTTTCCTTCAAACCAAACACAGCCTTAGAGCATCCATAATCATCACACCTCCAGCAATGATGAACAATGACAAAAGTGTTACTGAGTTAGGTTATGTCTTAGCCACTTATCCTGTTTCGAGGGAGCCATTTCCCCACCCAAATTCAGCGGTATGTGGCACTTCAAGTAATGTTAGTGTTTTGGGTTACGTTTTCTTTCGAGTTGGTTGTTGGTTTGGTAAGTGGATCTATAGGATTTGAAAGAACAAAAGGAAAATGGCTTTGTGCGTAAAATCCAGGGATTCGTGTATAATTTCTTACCTTTCCTAGTGAAGAATTGGTTTGATCATTCATTCCCATATAAACAATTGTATAATCAAAATTTAGAATAAAATTTTAAGATTTTTTTTCAAATTTTTTTATCTATCTTGTTAATTTATTTTAATATTTTCATTATTTTTTCAATTAAAAAAAAAATCATGCCACCCATGGCCCAGCCCAGCACGGCATAGACCCACTTGGGCTTGTGCCGCTGGCCATGCTGGGCTTCTCTTTTGAGGGGTGTCGGAATAGGCGGGCACGACCTGTTATAGTATGGGCAGTCCTTCAAAAGTGGATCCACCGCAAATATTTGAGGTAGAATTCAGTGGATCCACCTCAAAGCAAGATATAAGGACGACAATCAATTTGAATTAGCACGGATGAGGAGAGTCCTTCCACCTCGCAATGAGGCAACAGCAGTCCTTGGAATGCTTTTCTCTTTGGCAGGAATCCTTGGAATGTTGCTAGAATCAAAGAGGAAAAATCAGCAACGAGAGAGAGAGAGAGAGAGAGAGAGAGAGAGAGAGAGAGGAGTTTGTCTCATGGTTGAAAATTGAAATTGCATAGCCGTTACAGAAATAAGGAATGTTCAAACATTGCAGAATGATCATGAGATAAATTGTTTATCTGCAATTTTGATGACCAAAGCTACATTAAATATTTGTATATCCTTTGGCCAATTAATTCAGTTAAGATGAATTTCAGTGATTCTAGACAACGCCCCATGACTGAGTTCCCTGGCCAAATTCCGTTACCAAGCAATCCCATGGATAAAAATTCTGTTAATTTGGTATGTTTAAGAAGGAAAGATATACCAAGACAGATAAGATGTAATTGCAATATAAGTTATAGATATAGAGAAGGGACTCTATAGGTCTATCTAAGGTCCACTATATTTGTTTACAAAGAGAAGACAAAGGTCTCAAGGATGAAGCAAAATCTGCAGTTCTGATACATTGCAGCAGTCAAAATGAAACTGGCAATTAGGGAAATAATTTATTACAAAATTACAAACACAGGTTACTTCACTAACATTATTTATAAGAACAGTTCCAATCCTTAATAAGATACAAGGCTAACAAGGATTTTAGTTAAGCCCTGCTATTTGTTCCAAAAACTTTTCTTATTTTGTGATGATAATAGTAGTACAACAGCATGCTCCTCATCAATTTCATTTGTCTACTTTTAAAAGAGCTTACCACTACTCATCTCATTTCCTGCAGGCAAACAGGTAGAACGTTTCACAAAGCAGCTATGAAGCTTATATGGAAAGAGGATAAAAAAACAAATAAATAAAAGAAAACATGGTTATCGGTGACCCATAACCATGGGGCGATCTTGGAATTTACAATGCTAAATGATCTTGCAACAATAACACACTCGACACAAAAAAGAGGCAGATAAGCATTGTGTGAGTCTTTGAATAGTGTAAGATAAGTGGGATATTTTTTTTCTCACAGGACAAAGCAAAATAACATCCAAGCTGCATAAGGTTATCCTAGAAGAAAATCTAAACATTCAGATCAGCATAAGAAAATGTAGAAAAGGTGAGCAAATTTTCAGTTATGGTGGGTGTCTATATGAGGTCTATAGGAGAAGCCTATTTTCTTTTAAATCTGTTGCAAGTCAACTAGGGAAATGGAACTGAGTGGAGTTGAGTATAAATTTGGGATTCAACTTCAAATTCTATAACGCATTCCTAATGCCTTGATATAGTGACCAGTTCCAGCTAATATTAAGCTTCTTACAATTAGTGAAACTGTCGTTATAAATACCTTAGACAGAAAATAAAAAATTAAAAAAACAGGAGTGTTTCAATGTTTATTGTAAACAAGTTTCAAGCCATCTAGAAAATGACTATTGTATCCTTCAGCTGTGCTCACATGGTTCAGTCCACATCCATTTTAAAAGGAAGATCACTAACCACTCTTCACATGATATTATAGTTCTGTTTCATTTACAGAAACGAAATATTTGTTGAACTCAAGTTACTGCTCCCTTCCTGCATCTCAATTTCACAGATCAATAATCCTAATACCATCTATTTGCCTTTATCTGGCCTCTACTTAATGTGTCCTGTAATACATATCAAGTGTTGTCACAGGCTCATAGCTTGGATTAAATCATTAACAAATCAAGATAATGGAATAGATGATGTGAACCTTCCAGTACGTTATTAGGTTTAGGCTTGCAATTGGCCCAATTCATGTAATAGTGCACTTCCCTACATAAAGATATATGTATAATGAAAATGGATCTTGTAACTCTATTTGGGCTTCCTATTCTCACTCATGCTTGCTAAGAAATTAGTATGTGGATAATTCCAATTATTGATAACTTCTAGTAGTCAATAATGGGCACCCCTTTGAAAATTTTGACTGGAAAATCTTAGGAAAAAACCACAAATGAAACCCTTGTTTAACAAATAAATGGATGCTAAATGGCATAGACTATCCTTCAAGATGTTCTATATTCAGAATCTTGTGTGTGTGCGTGTGTAACAAAAACTTGAGAAAAGTGCCTTTGGTAGTTATTTGATATAGGCATACCATGGAAGCTTAAAAGTGTCTTTCCACCATCCTTGTTTGGAGCCATGTGCAATTATTTTGTCCAGACGAACAATAATCTCAGAAAATGTTGGTCTTACCATAGGTTCTTGGTTCCAACATTCTTCAATCAGCCTGAGTAAATATCATATAAAAATACTATTAGAAACAAATATCTATTTTACTTCCAATTTAACAGGAAGATAAGTATAAAGTTTAATCTTAAATGTGACAAGCAGTGCCATTACACCATCAAAGGACCTATTTGCTAAAGAAATCACATAAAAACTCTGATTCCAGGCTTTCTATTAATCTACTCTGGCTCTATTTGATTAAAAAAAAAAAACTTTAGCAAAGGAAACTTAGAATGTGGGACAGTGGGAGAGAAAAATGCATGGAACTTTGAAGAGAGACATAAATTCCTTATTTGAATAGGAAACTGAACCAATGGGAATAAGAGGGAAGTTGGACATGTAAGACCATATTGGCTCATCTCTATGTATGTTAATCTATAGTTTTATATTTCAAAAAATCAAAAAAGAACAAAAAACAATCAAGGGATCTTAGAGCAAAAAGGAGATAAGAGAAAAATCAAGGGATCTTGAGTGTTCTATGAAGAACTACTTGGTGAGGTCTTTCATGTATTGCTCAGATTGATTTCTCAATCAATATATAATTAAGAAGGTTTTGTGATTGTTTTAACAGTTGTGTTTCAACAGTTTGAATCAGTAGAGAATAGGGAAGAAGAAGAAGAAGAAGAAGAAGAAGAACAGTTGAACCTGATAGCCAAACCCTATCAGTCGAACATAATGTAGATTAGTCTCTAATTAATTGTACAATGACTAAACTGCCCCCACTTAAGTATGGGACAGGAAGTCTATATTAGAACTGCCACATAAGCACATAACTTAACTGAATAAAATGACTAATCTACCCTTATTCGGCTAGGTCTAACACTCCCCCTCAAATTGGAGAATATATGTCATATAATCCCAGCTTGTTACATATATAATTCACTCTCCCTAAGCTTAGGCCTTTTGTAAACAAATCTGCCCATTGATCACTTGAGCCCACATGTTCTATGCTTATCTCTCCAGTAAGGACTTCCTCCCTCACAAAGTGGAAATCAATCTCTATGTGCTTTGTTCTCTCATGAAAAACAGGGTTAGATGAGATGTGAAGTGCAGCTTGATTGTCACAGTACAATTTCATAGGTCTGCCCATGGAGAGTCCGATTTCTTGTAGGAGATTCCTCAGCCATACTAATTCACATGTAGTGTGTGCCATGGCTCTGTATACCCAATTACCTCAAGTCTTCCTCTAGGTTTGTACAATAACCCACGGCCCGGAGCTCCCTTTAGGTACCTTACAATTCTAAGAACTGCATCCCAGTGAGGTATCCAAGGGTTCTGCATAAATTGGCTCACCACACTGACTGCAAAGGAGATGTTTGGTCTTGTGATAGTCAAATAGTTTAGCTTCCCCACTAACCGTCTATATCTTTCAGGATCATCAAATATTTTCCCTGTATCATTGCTCAACTTAGAATTTGGTTCCATGGGAGTTTAAGCCAATTTTGCACCTAACAGTCCCGTTTCATCCAGCAAATTAAGAATATATTTTCTTTGGCATAGGTTTACACCTTGTTTTGATCTGACAACTTCTATACCCAAGAAATACTTCAACTTCCCAAGGTCTTTTTTTTGAAAATGGTTTTGTAGAAAGACCTTTAGTTTATCAATCCCCAATTTGTCACTGCCAGTTATGACAATATCATCCACATAGACCACTAATAAAATCTTTTCAGCTTTTGAATCATAGCTGAACACTGAGTGGTCAACCTGACATTGTTTCATTCAAAAATTCTTCACCATTTCACTAAACTTCCCAAACCAAGCACGAAGCGATTGTTTCAACCCATAAATTACCTCTTTCAGTCTGCACACCTTACCATCCTCCCCCTAAGCAACAAACACAGGTTGTTGTTCCATACATACCTCCTCTATAAGGTCACCATGAAGGAAAGTATTTTTAACGTCAAGTTGAAACAAGGGCCAATCATACATAACTGCCAGGGAAATTAAGAYACGGACGGAGCCAATCTTAGCCACTGGAGAGAAGATCTCCATATAGTCCACCCCATACAACTATGAATAACCTTTAGCAACAAGTTTGGCCTTCAAACGCTTCACACTACCATCTGGAAAATATTTAATAGTATACACCAATTTACAACCCACAACATGCTTATGGGGAGGAAGAGTAGTGAGGTCCCACGTTTGAGTATGTTGAAGAGTAGAGAGTTCCTCCTCCATTGCTTGACGCCACCCAGGTGAGGTAAGAGCCTCCTGGACATTCTTAGGTATAGAAATAGATGACAACAATGAAACAAACTAGCGATGTGAAGCGAAAAGGCGAGAGACTGAAACAAAAATGGAAATGGGATGGAGGGTACAACTACGTTTACCTTTCCATAAAGCAATGGAAAGATCAAGTCCTGAAGGTTCTGGGGCAGGAGCAACAACAAGATCCACAGACAAGGTAGAAGTTGGAGGAGGAGCCAATGCCTGTCAATGAGTATACACGTGCCGGATCGATGGTCGTTTAGTAGGAATCTGCACTGGAGGAGGTGAAGGGTCAGCCCCAACTGGAACAACCGGAACGGGATCACGGACTGGAAGAGGAAGAGGAAGAGGAAGTAAAGGTGGAGATACCGATACTTCAGGTCTCGAAAAGAATGGGACAAACTCAAAAAAGGTGACATCAGGACAGACATAGAACTTTCGAGTAATGGGATTGTAACACTTACACCCTTTCTGGGTCCGAGAGTATCCAAGAAAGACACGCTTAATAGAACATACATCCAGCTTGTCTATCCCAGGACTCAGATTGTGAACAAAGCACACACAACCAAAGACCCGAGGTGTTACTGAAAAGGAAGACAAGGTGGGGAACAAAATAGAAAAAGGAGACTAACCATGAAGGATGAAGGAGGGCATCCAATTAATAAGGAAACAAGCAGTAAGCACAACATCACTCCAAAATCGTTTAGGAATACTCATATGATGAAGAATAGACCGAGCAATTTCAAGGAGATGACAGTTCTTTCGTTCAGCCACCCCATTTTGTTCAGGAGTGGATGCACATGAAGTTTGATGAATGATGCCATATTGTTCTAAATATTGTTTAAAGGAAGTAAGAAAGTATTCACGACCGTTATCTGAACAAAGAACTTTAATTGGAACACCAAATTGTGTACATATTTCAGCATGAAATTTTTGAAAATTGGAAAATAATTTACTCCTTTCTTTCATTAAATAAGTCCATGTCATCCTTGAACAATCATCAATAAAAGTGACGAAATACTTATAACCATTATAAGACTATTTTAATCGGACCCCAAACATCTAAATGAACTAAAGCAAAAAGACTCAACATACGACTATCAACTCTAGGATTGAAGGGAACCCGATGGTGTTTCCCATACTAACACGTCTCACACTATAAAGACGACAAATGACTCAAAAATAGAACCAGTATCTTGAGTGCCTTGAGAGATGGATGTCCTATCTGACAATGCCATTGTAGAGGAGCGAGTGAAGTCTGAATTGCAACTGACGATCCACCACCGTCAAGGTAATACAATCCATCGGCTTCATGCTTCCCACCAATCTTCTTCCCCGTTTTGAGATCTTAAAACACACAAAAGGAAGGGAAAAATGTAATAGAGCAATTAAGGGTCTTGGTTAATTTACTGACTGACATAAGATTGAATGTAAATTTAGGCCCATATAGAACATATGATAAAGAAAGAGAAACCGTGTCAACATTACCAAAACCACAGATGGGAGAAGAGGAACTGTTGGCAAGGGTAACAGTTTGAGATGTGGAAGTTTCAGACAGGGAAGAGAACACACCTGGAGTCCTGGTCATGTGATCAGAGGCTCTAGAGTCAATAATCCAAGGAGAGGGTTTGGATGCCAAACAAGCTATACCTGAGTGTGCAAGGGTGGTTGTAGTATGTTGTGAAGTAGTCTGGAGGAACCTCTCATACTCATTGTGCGGTACACTCATCATCTCCTTCCCAGAAATAGATGTAGATGTGGAAGGTGTTAGATTTGTCTGTTGGTTTTCACTAACATCAACCCCACCAGCTACTGCATGATTAGCCCATGTAGAAGGTGGACCATGGAGATCATAACAAAAATACACTGAACATCCGTCACTGCCACAGTGGGTACACTTCCTAGTAAAGTTACTTTTTCCTTTAACACAACCTCCCCCTGAGTCACGACCACCACCACAACCAAATATGAAACCACTACAACCTCCTCGGGAAGTATGTCCTCCCCCTCTAGTACCACGTCCGCCTCCTCTGGCTATCACAAATGTTGATCTGTCAAATGGTGTGGGACTCTCTGTAAATCTCAAAGAAATCTTGTGAAGCCGTGCGAAAACTTCCTCAAGGGTAGGAAGAGTAGAGCCTCCCAATATTTGGGCCGTAACTGGTTCATACTCTGATTTCAACCCCACTAAGAACCTAGTGACATCCAGTTGCTCCCTTTGTTGTTGCTGAACCTTAACATCTGGAATGAGGGGATGATAGACATTGAGTTCATTTCTGAGGTTCTTCATACTGGCATAGTACTCTTCTAGGGTTTTATTCCCTTGCTGCAGATCGAAATACTCCTAATAGAGTTGATATACCCTTGTAGTATTATCATGCCCATTTTAAAGCTTCTTGGCATGTTCCCATATGTCCTTAGATGTATCTAAGAACATAAAGTTGGACTTATTTTGGGTTCCATATTGTTCCATAACCATGTCATGATTTGGGCATCTTCCTCTTCCCAGTCATCAAACCCTGGAGAATCAGCTGATGGTTTATCTTCCTTCACGTGTTTCACTTTCCTCTTTGCCTTGAGGAAAACTTCCACTGACTTGGCCCATGGCACATAATTCTCACCATTATGTTTAATTGAAGTCATCTACACACCCAAATAATCGGAGGGGATCATCACACTCAGTTTCTGATCACTAGAACTATCTCTCATTGCTGCCATTATGTCATGTCCCCCACTGCTATTTCTAATGCTGAACTCTCAATCACCAACCAAATACTACTGTCAAGGCAA